GCTATGTCCTTGTCCATGGGCTCAGGTGTCTCCAGGGCTCACCGCATTTTGGAGCAACCAGCCCTTCCTCTTCTCTCTCTCATCTCCAGGTCAACGGGAGTCTGTGGACTATGGTTGAACTCAGCCCTTTTCTTCATTGCTGCCTTTCCCCCTCTTCTACTCACCAGTAGACCAGTGTAGTCGCCAGCAAGCTTACATGCCTGTTCATGTGTTCCCTTTGAGTTTTAGTCTTAGAGGGGAGTTTGTCCTGAAGGCACTTGCTAGCCTTGATGGCTTCCTGGCGAACATCTTCCTTATTCTTGTAGTAGCTGACATTTTTGTTTTGGGTTTTTCCTGATGCTTTTTCTTTGAAGGTGTATCTTCTGTTGCTCTAGCTGTTCTTGGCTGGTCTGTTTGCCCTTTCTAGTGGGAATGTCCTACCTCATAAGGTTTTGGATGGGACTCAGGTTTCCACCTAAGGTCCTATACTCTGCAAAGGCATTGCAAGAGGCCTATTTCACTGGGCAAGTTCTAGAACCCCTTTTATGTATTCCAAAAGGCTGAAGATGGGTTTACAAGTTTTCTCTAATCATGTTTCCCAACATTCCTTTCTATCTCACTCAAGTATCTATTTTACAATAGTAGGCAAGGGAAACCAATATTCATAAGACAATCAAGCATTTTAATATTATTTCCCCCTTCAAACTATACCTAGATCCCTGTATCCCAGAGCCCTGTTGTTCCAAGGTTGAGCATGCATCACTATTTACCTCTGTTCAACTTAGGCCACGCAGAACTGTCTCAGTGTTCCCCTATCTATTTTGTTCTTTTGCTTCCTTCCCCTTCTTGTATTGCTCTCCCCAACACCTGAACTAAACCTCCCACCCCAACCCCACTGTTGTGGTTACCATATATTTCGATTAACTCTTCCTTCCATTTAATATAGTCTGTTTTATCCTGTATTCTACCTGACCTTCACTCCACCTGGATCGCTGTTCTTCTGTGTTTACCTTCTTTCAAATTGTAATTGTTTTGATCATAGACTGACCTCCCAGGACCTCTGTTCCTATAATTTTATTCTGTTTTTGACTCTTCAATTTGTTGATTGAGTTCATTGTGATGCTGCCATGTATGTCATTCTCTGGTTGTCATCTATTCTTGTTGGTTCTCAGTCCATAGAACTTCCTTTAGGATGTTTTTCATAGCAGGATTGGCTTTGGCAAAATCCCTTAGCTTCTGTTTATCCTGGAATGTTTTGATTACACCTTTTGATTAACAGCTTTGCTGGTTGGCGGTTTTTTTTCTTTCAGGGTTTTATATGTGTCTCCCCATTGCTTTCTTGCCTGCATGGTTTCTGTTGAGGGATTTAAGCTTAATCTAATTTGCTTGTCTTTGTATGTTACACTTCTCTTTTCCCAAGCTGCTTTCAGGATTCTGTCCTTATCTTTGATTTTGGAGAGCTTGATTATTATATGTCTTGGTGATTATCTTTTAGGGTCTATCCTTTTTGGGGTTTGTTGAGCTTCTTGAATGCTTTTCTTTTCGCTTTTCAGGATGTTAGAGAAGTTTTCTTCCAAAAGCTCTTCAACTATCTCCTCTGTGGACTTCTGTGGGATTCTTCCTGTTCTGGAATGCTGATAATTCTTAAATTATTCCTCTTCACATTGTCCAACGTGATTCTTAGGCCTTTTTCAGATTTTTTTAATCCTTTTTTGTCCTTGCTCTTTCTTTCTTAGTAGTGTTGAGTGATTTATCTTCTAGCTCACTAGATCTGGCTTCCATCTCTTCAGTTCTACTC